CCACAGTTGCATCAAGTAAATACAAAATAAACGACCACTTGGGTGCTACATTTGTTTGTGTTCCCTCCAATATAATTGTTATCGGCATTACCTTCCAGAATTCGTATAATCTTGTCGGGTCAGAAACCATTGAACCTGCACCAGCAGCAGCCATATACGGTGACAAATCTGTGTTCATTAAGTGTGGTTTCGAAAGTTATCAAGATACTCTCTTTGATGCACATGGTCGTCATTATTTCAAAGATTGTTACGTTGAAGGTGAAGTTGACTTCATTTATGGCAACGGTCAATCTTACTATGAGGTTATATTATATAGAATGCCCTAATTTTTATATTTTTTTGAATTAAATGAAAGCAAGTATATACATTTATTGATTTTGATTTTTTTTTGACTTGTAGAATTGTATCATTAATGCGACGCTTGGAAAATCTCCTCCAGGTTTTGTAACAGCACAATCTCGAGGATCAGAAAAAGAAGATAGTGGTTTTGTTTTCAGAGGAGGTTGTGTGATTGGAAATGGTGAAGTGAAGCTTGGAAGAGCTTATGGAGCTTATTCAAGAGTTATATTTTATGGAACATATTTATCTTCCTTAGTCTCCCCTCAAGGCTGGGATGCTTGGGGCTACACTGGCAAAGAGTGGGACTTCTTTCATCCTTCAAAATCGTCACCGTACATTTTTTATAATTATAAGATTGATCATTTTTGGTGTGAGAAACTGGTTTATTATAGCTTTGATGGTGCAGGTCTAGGTTTACTTATGGTGAGGTAGAGTGTAGTGGAGAAGGAGCAAACGCTAGCGGGAGCGTTATGTGGGAGAAGAAGCTTACAAATTCGCAGTTGGAAGATTTTTCTTTGTCATCCTTTATCAATCAAGATGGATGTCTTTCCTACTTACCAGTCAAATTTTAATTAGGATATTAATGTTTAACTAGCTATTCATGAGTTTAGAAAATTTAAAACAAATTTAAAAGTGAGATCTAAAATAAATTTAAGAGTTTTTGAAACTTGCAGTAATTAGTATTAAGAATGAAGAGTTATATTCTGAGTCAATTTATGTACAGACTAATTTTAATTTATAAAAAGTAATTTAAATTTAGTTATCATTTGCTTATGTTAATTAACATATCACATTAAATTTAATGGAACACAGCTTAGCATCTTTAATATTGTTTCCTTACTTTGACTTTGTTTTTTCTCACCTTGAGATGTGAGAAAATTCGCACGTTATATTGAAATTTTAAAATTTGGATTTGTTTCTATGATATTTTAAAATTTTAAAATCAGAGTTGTTTATATATATACGAGTTTATTATTAATAAAAGTAATATTGTAATAGGCTTGAATTTTGAATCTTGAAGAAATACAGTAAATAGATAAACATGCAGATGTATTAGTGAATACAAATTTATATTATCAGACTCTTCCACAGAATGTCTTTATCATTGCCACACTCTTATTCACTTAAGTTATATTCGTTTTTTTAATCAAACGTACCACATCGGAGGGATTATAATAAAAATCATGGTTTATAAATTATTATGAACCATAACAATTTGCTGAGTTAGGTCATGCTAGCTTGTAACCCTAATGGGAGCATTAAGGTAATGGTATATG